TTCGGGGTTTCGGGATTTCGGGGTTTAGGGGTTTAGGGGTTTAGGGGTTTAGGGCTTAGGGCATAGCGTTTGAAGTCTGTGACTGTTGCAAACACAAGCAGACGTGGCTTTCTGTTTCAATGCTTCCGGGTTTCCCGGCTTTAGAGGTCAGGGTTTCGGGGTTTAGGAAGTTTAGTGTTGAGGGTTCATAGTGCTTAGCAGCTTAGCGTCTTCTTGAAAGCAAGCGCCCTAGAAGAAGCCCAATCAGTGGGTGCCCTGACAGACTGCTCGACGCCGTCAACCTTCATCTGGCTCCCAACCCTAAACCTAAGCCCTAACCCCGAAACCCCGAGCCCTAAAGCCGAAACCCTGCACCCTAAACCCGAAGCCCCACTTGGATGCAAAAATGCCCTCCACAACAGAAGCTGACACTCCAAACCCGCCCGAGCAAAGCGTCGGAGAGTAGGGTCCCCTTATAGGGTTCTCTTTGGGTACTGCCCCCACTCAGTAACAGTTGGATAATATTTATATTATGGATATATTAGGCCCTTAATAGTAGCCCTATTATACACTGTTACTGTATGGGGGCAGTACCCAAGGTTCTCTTAATAGGGTTCCTTTGTAGGATTCCTTGACAGAGTTCCTTAATAGGGTTCCTTAATAGGGTTCCTTTATAGGATTCCTTAATGGGGTTCCTTTGTAGGGTTCGTTTGTGGAGGATGAGCGCGAGAAGCTGAAGGAAGACTGGCTGAAGCTGCTCTTCACCGTCCTGGCCTGAGTGGTTTAGGATTTAGGTTTGGGTTAAGGGTTTAGGGTTTAGGGTTTAGGGTTTAGGGTTTAAGGTTTAGGGCTTTGGGTTTAGGGTTTAGGGTTTAGGAGTTAAGGTTAAGGGTTTAGGGTTTAGGGTTTGGGGTTTAGGGTTGGGGTCAATCCCTACCTAGAGGAAAGACCCTACCCTTTTTTTAGGGTACCGTACCTGCTTTGCTGTATTAGAAAACCTATCTAAAGAACTTGCTAACTTCAAAGAAGGGGCAGGGTATGAGCCTATAGGTAAGACTAGAAACAGCCAGGGGAGCCCTAAATCGTAAACCCTAAACCCTAAGGTGTTGCTGAAACAGTGGTGGCTTCAGGTCAGCGTCGAAGGCATGAATCACTTCGCTTCTGGTCCTGTAGCCGTCGCTGGGTTTAGGGTTTAGGGGCTTTCGGTCTAGGGTTTAGGGAACCCTAACCCTTCTCTTTCGGGCACTATAATAGCAAGTATACGAAAGGCCTGCAGCTGTCACTTTACTTTGGGATAGTGTAAGGTGCCTCACCCTAAACCCTAAAGCAGCAACCCACCCAATGTCACAACCTTGGGCATCGCCAGTTTGTTCGTGAAAGACCAGGATGTGCAAGCCAAGCCGGATTGTTTTTAGATGTATAAGACATCGTGGCCTTTCTTTGGGTTTAGGGCCTCCTTCTTCTTATCATTAAATTATTACTAGACCCTAAACCCTCAACCCTAAACCCTAAACCCGAAACCCCAAACCCTAAACCTAAACCCTCAACGACTCTGCCCCCGGAAGCCCCTCAACCCCAAGCCCTAAGCCCTAAATACCAACCCTGGCCCTAGCCCCTAAGCCCTGACAACTGAATCCCCAAACCCTAAGCTCCTAAACTGCCAAACCCTAAACCCTGAACTCCCTATCTGCCAAACTCGAAACCCTAAACCCTGAACCCCCAAGCCCTAAACCTTAAACTCCTTATCTGCCAAACACAAACCCTAAACCCTAAACTCCTTAAAGCCCTGAACCCTAAACCCCTAAACTGCCAAACCTTAAACCCTAAACCCCTTAAAGCCCTGAGCCCTAAACTCCTAAACTGCCACCTTAAACCCTAAACCCCCTTAAAGCCACCTAGGAGGGCAGCATGGCGGCCACGACCCCGGAAGGGCCGCTGCCCTCCACCATGGAGCTGGGTGAGAGGCGCACGATCTCGGGTATAGGGTTCGAGTTTAGGGTTTCGGGTTTAGGGTTTTGGGGTTTAGGGGTTTAGTGTCAGAGTTTAGGGTTAGGGTTTAGGGTTTCGGGTTTAGGGTTTTGGGGTTGTCAGAGTTTAGGGTTAGGGTTTCGGGTTTAGGGTTTTGGGGTTTAGGGGTTTAGTGTCAGAGTTTAGGGTTAGGGTTTAGGGTTTGGGGTTTAGGGCAAGTTTAGGGTTTAGGGTGTCTCAGAGTGCTAGGCAGGTAGGAATACTTGGCAATAGTATCGCGCTATAGACCGTCAGAACTGTACTACAATGTACCACGATACCCTCAACTAATGATTAAGTGTTGTTTCGAGGGTGCTTCTGAGGTCTGAACAGCTAGAACAATATCCTATATGCCCTCATAGATCTGCGAAGTACTACAACATACCGCATTCCCCACCACCTTAACTCTAAGAAGTGATCAAGGGCTCCGTATGAGAGTGCAGAAGGGTCTCAGGGAACCTGAAGAGTGTTGGTATCTTCGTATCCGATTCCGAGGAATTCGGGTCACGAGGAAGTTCTGAAGCCCAGACCCCGTCCACCCTAAACCACTAAACCCTAAAACCCACAACCGTAAATTAAGAACCCCAAGAGCACAGAAGCATAAGCATTTTATAGGGACATCCCTACCTCATTGGCTTCATTATAAGGGGGATTATATGGGATATCCCTATCCTGATTTTTGCTTTTTTGGGGGTCCTAGTAATCCACCAAGACCTCGGTTTGTGAAGTTGCTGTCCATATTCAATAGTTTTGGCGAATCATGGGAGCTGGCTTGCAGAAACTCGCAACCCTAACTACATATGATAAAGGCCATAAGCCCATGATGGTCATGTGATGGTCATGCCTAAATCCAGTTCGAGGTTTAGGAATTAGGTGGGTTCAAGCGAGGTTTGGATGGGGTATAGATGGGGTTTAGGGTTCAGGGTGTAGGGCTTAGATTGGGGCTGAGGGTTCGGGTTAACACTCCGGAATGCCTCGAACGGTCAGCCCTGGAACCCTCTCCGACACAGAATAAATCATAACACTTTTCCCCAGGGTTCTGTCATATAACATCATATAACTATTCACAGAACTATACAGAGTGATTAATACAGTACTAGACCCTAAACCTTAAACCCTGTTCGAATCATAAGGCCCCGGTGTAGCGTCACCTTCTTAAGAGCCCTACAACCCACGCAACCCGAACCCTGTACTTAGAAATTCCACGGTTTGGGGTTTAGGGTGTAGGGGCTTTGGGTTTAGGGTTTAGGGGTTTAGGGTTTAGGTGTTTAGGGGTTTAGGGGCTTTCGGTTTAGGGTTTGGGGGTTTAGGCTTTGGGGGTTTATGGTTTAGGGTTTAAGGTTTAGTGTAAATCTG